GCTTACGTCCCGTACGTATATGGACAAGTACGTTAAGATCAAACTCATAGGCGAGGGATCGCACGGGAAAGTGTATCTGGTTAAGGAGAAACCCGACGGCGAAGGATCCTCGAAGCATCAACAGGCCGTTCGCAGTCCGAGCGATAAAGTATGGGTGATGAAGGTCGTACCGTTGCCGTCGGATCCGAAAGAGCGAGAAGAATGCGTTCGAGAAGGATCGACCATGATGAAGCTCGGTCACCCCCTGCATTGTCGGTTGCAAGGTACTTACCGTCTAAACTCGCCGTCTACCGAGAGCGTACTAGTTCTTCTTATCTCAGACCCGAGGCCGGTAAATTCAGCAGAATCTGAACGTCTGACCGACGTACGTCGTCATTTCTCCAGCTGCTGATAAGTTTCTCCTTTCTAATTTGGGTTTCTTCGTGTTACCCGGATGCTGCCTTTTCCGTCGCAGGAAGCGTTTATCGACCGCTCCAGCCGTGCCTTTTGCATTGGTGAGTACGGCACGCGTGAAAAACGGTGCAATTTGGCACCACCGATTTACCGCGTCTCATCGAATCCGTTCACTTAGTGTGTTCCTCGTTCGTTCCCATGGCGACACTGTCGGAGAGCGTCGCAGAGGCGATTACGGAAGATCCCATCTCTCGTACTCTTTACAACTCGTGGTGTCAAGGGACCTTAGGGTTTGTATATATTGCGAGAATTCCGTTCCTTGCAGTTGAGGTGTCCAGGTTCGGCTGCTTTGCCTAATTTTTTCGATTACATTCGCTAGTGAAGCCGTTGTGCTGGTCAGTTGAATGTGGCATTCTTTTAGAATAACTCGGGTTCCGCGTTAATTTTGTGACTACAACGAGCGGCACGCAGCAGCAGCACGGAGGAGCCTTCTCTCGCCATAGCAACACCTGTGCCTGTCTCACGCTTACTAGGACCAAACTCGTACCGTCATAATGATCCCTTACCGTCCCTGCCTTGGTGTTTGGTGCTTGGTTCATGCACAGTGATGGAGTATTGTCGCAAGGGTGAGCTGTGTCAGCACCTCAAGAAGCGCTCCAACATGGCAATGATGTGAGTGGTTGAATTCGGTTCTAGCAGGTCCGCGATGATGTTAGTGATGTGAGAGGCTGGTCCTTGCGTTTGAGGCGAATTCATTCGTCCAGTGTAGGCATCAGTTAACTCACGACGGTAGTTATGACGACGCGTCGTTTCGTCCTTTCGCACAGTTTCGCCATTTTTCGCTGCGTCGTCCTTCATTCCGTTGTTTCTTCGTCGTTCTGATTGCTCCCTTCCGCCAGGATTCCCGAAGACACGATTCTCAACTGGTTCGTGCAGCTCGTGCTCGCGTTAGAGTACCTTCACCATAAGAACATTCTCCACCGAGACGTCAAGGTACTAAATCCCGCTCGTCTCCATCTCCCCCGTTCTATCGATTTTCCGTCTGCCTTGGCCCCCTCACAGCCCCCGCTCGTCCCCTCTTCCTCGCCTCACTTCGTCCCTCCGCTCCCTCCCAACCCAATTCTCCTCGCTAGCTCAAACACGCGGCTCGGTTACGCCTCCTCCCCCCCACCCTTCTCTCTCCAACTCCCACCCCACTTCCCCTGCGCCCTCCGGTCAGGCGGAGAACGTGTTTCTTCGCAGCCGTCCACGACACGCCGCTGGGTAACGCGGCGACGGTGCAGCTGGGCGATTTCGGCATTTCGCGAATGCTGGAGGCCCACGAGGCGGTCGCGCGAAGCTTCGTGGGCACGCCGCTGTACATGTCGCCCGAGCTGATCCGGAACGAACCGTACGACCATAAGTCAGGTGAGCCGTTCGATCACGAGTCAGATGAGCCGTACGAAATTGAGTCAGATGAGCCGCACGACCCGGGTGTAAAGGCCTGATTCAACCTACCTGTTGGCACGTGTACTGTGCCCGGAAGTGTAGCCTAATATCTCCCCCTTGCCCCCTGCCCCGCCCCTTTGCAGATATATGGGCGCTGGGTTGCATCCTGTACGAGATGATGTGCTTCACTAAGCCCTTCCCCGCTACAAGCATACGCGACCTTGTTCTGCGAGTGCTCAAGAGCAACTACCGCCCTCCTCCCCACATGTAAGCTGTGTTTTATCTCTCGTTAATGTTTTCAGACTTCTTTCCTGTTCCAGATTCTCATACCTCTCTTCTCTGTCCCCGCATCCTTCCCCCATCCCTCCCCCATCCATCCCCCTTCCGCTCCCCGGATCCCCCCGCCGCTCCACCGCAGATACTCCCCCGAGCTCTGTTTCCTGCTCACCAAGATGCTCTCGAAAGACGCATCGCGCCGCCCCACCGCGGCCGACATCCTCGCCTTCCCGCTGCTCCGCCCGCGCGCCGCCGCCTTCCTCGCGGCGTGCCAGCTGGCGGCGTCCGAAGCGGCGGAGACGCACGCGCAGCAGCAGCAGCTGGAGGAGCGCATGCAGCGCCAGCTGCAGCAGCCGCAGCAGAAGCAGCACCACCGGAACTATCAGCGCCGCGATAAAAACCAGGAGCAGCAGAAACAGCAGCAGCAGCAGCAGCAGGAAGGCTCATCCTCCTCCTCCCCATTCTCCTCTCCGTTTTCCTCCCCCCTGGCCTCCCCCCCGCCCTGCTCCTCCTCCGTCCCGACTTCCCCGCTGCACCAGCACCATTCCCCCAGCGCCGCGCGCGTCTTGGCCATTCACAGCGAGGTCGTGTTGCAGGCGCACCGCCTAGGGTTGCACGCTCCTCTCGAGCCCCTGCTCTCCCCTTCCGCGCGCGCGCGCGTAGCATCCGCGGAAGGCGCGCGCGCGGAGCGCCCGCGTGCGCCGGGTTCGCCCCGGCAGATGGCAGCAGCGGGGGCGGCGGAGATGCGCGGGGAGGCGGGGGCGGGCGGAGAGGGCTCGCTGTTCCGCGATTACGAGGCGAGCTTGAAGGTCCCCCCTCCTCAGGCAAGTCCTTTCAAATGTCCTGGTCCTCTCCGCTCCCTTCGTGTTTCTTTCCCCTCTTTCCCCTGTGTTGATCATCCTTCTCTTACCCCTCCTTCTCCACCCGCCCTACTCTCCCTCCAATTCTCCTCTTTCCCCCTCTCGCCCCCTTCAGAAGAGTTCCCAGAGCAATCGCTCACGAGCAACGTCAACCGACGGAGTCGTCACCCAAACCAACGCTTCAGCCTCGGGCTGCCCAACCAGCCCGTTCGCCTCGGCGGCGGCTCGGCGGCGATTCTCAGCCTCGGACACGGATAACCTGGTGCAGCGCGCCAATAGCCGCGGCCGGGGGAGCATCAGCGGGCGCATGGGGGACGGCGGGGGCGCGGGGGGGAGTGGCAGAAGCGGGGGCGGCGGAAGCAGGCGGGGGTCGCGGGAGCTGTCACTGGCGGAAGAGGATTTGCGCGCGCTAGAGGAGGGGATAGAGGAGGGGGGCGGGGACTTATCGGACGTGGTTCGCGGAGGGGCGACGGGGGAAACGAGTAGTGCGGGAACTGGCGGAAACTCGTCGCAGGAGAGTATACCATTAGGTGTAGAGCATCCCTACAGCGATAGAAACGCATCCGGGCGTTATAGCGCGGATGACTTCGCGTCTTATAACGGGGAAACCAGTGGCCGCTTCAGCGGGGAAAGTTCTAGGAGGTTTTCAGATTCCACTCCCCCGTTGCCCTCCGCCCCAGGGGCGCGGCTATCCCCCTCGGCGGAGACACGCGCGCTTGTAAATAGACCGCGGGGGAGGAGCATGAAGGAGCGGGATCCCGCGCATGGGGGGACCGCTGCGGAAGCAAGCGCGGAGCTAGGCATGCGCGCGCAATGCGGGGAGTGCGCAGACCTTGGGGAAGGAGCGGTGGAGGGGAGAGCGCCGGGAAGCAGCAGGGGTTACGCGGAACGGCGGGCAAGAGGGGGGCGCGCGCTGCAGAGGGGGCGCAGCGAGGGCGGGCGGATGGGGGAACACTTTCACGTGAGGGAGGGCGCGGGCATGGGGGAAGGCAGTAGGGAGGGCGCGGGCATGTGGGCCGAGGGGGAAGCGGAAAGGGAGGCGGCGGATAGGGAGGCGGCGGAAAGGGAAGCGGCGGATAGGGAAGCGGTTGAGAGGGAGGTGGCGGAGAGGGAAGCGGCGGAGAGGGAGGGGGGGCGGGGAGGGAGTGGGGCGGAGAGGGAGCGGAGCGGGTGGCAGCAGGAGCGGCGGCGGCGGCGGTCCGCCCGCCGCATGCCCTCGTGGGACTGCGAGCGCCTCCCCGGAGTAGCCTTCCCCCGCCCCCCCCCGTCCTTCGAATCCTCCCCCATCTCCATCAACTCCCGCACCCCCCCACTCCCGCACCCCCTCCCTCACTCCCTCCCACTCCTCTTCCGTCTCCCCGTCCCGGTTCCCGTCCTCCTTCTCCCCCTCGTTCGGGCCCTCTCGCACGTCCTCTCGCACACGGTCGCACAGCAGCAGCAATGCGACTGACCAGTCGTTAGGGCAGTCGCCGCTGTGGACGCCCAGGCGAGTGGTGGAAGAGGCGAGTCGCCTGCTGGGGGGGCACCGGGGGGAGGGGTTCGGGCTGGGCGCAGGCATGGGGTCGGGTATGGGGATGGGCATGGGGTCGGGTATGGGGATGGGCATGGGGTCGGGTATGGGGATGGGCATGGGCGCGGGGACGGGAATGGGGTATCACGGGAAGCAGCAGCACGGGCAGTTTCAGAAGCAGCAGCCGCAGCAGCTGCAGCGGCGGCGGCACCAGAAGCACCAGTCCGAGTCGTGTATAGACCTCCAGATAGGCCCAGGGGGGACCTATTCTGATCTTTCTCCCAATAGAGATGCTAGAGGGTACAGTCCGGGGGTCCCGTACGCGCGGGACAGGATGTGGTATGGCGAGGAGCGTAATATGGGGTACAGCCCGCCTGGAAGGGCCTTGAGCCCACCAGCAGCAGCTCAACAATTCCAGCAGAAGCAGCCGTTTGAGGGGAGGTCGCGGGTTCAATCCCCGGTGCCGTCATTCCCAAGCCGAGTCAGTGAGGGGGATGAGGACAAGAGCAGCAGCAGCGGCAAAACTCGTGCCAGTGCTCCTCGCACTGGCGTCGCTAGTGCCTCTTCTCCTCATGCCTCTGCCTCTGGAAACAGCACCCGCATTGCTGCTGCCGCTGTTGCTGCTGCTGCTGAAGCGCTTTCTGCACAGCCTACAAGCCCAACCACCAACCCCACAACCCCTACAATCCACTGCCCAAGTCCCACTAGCCCAACCAGCCAATGCGCTAGCCCCACCCCTGCTAGCCCCACAAGCCCCAACCCCACCAGTCCCACGAGTCCCACTGTGACGCGCTCTCTCCCCACGCGCAGCTCTGCCAGCTCTACAGACGCGGAGGCTGTGCTGTGCCGCGCCCTTGCCTCCATCCCCTCCCCCCCGGACAGCCCCTCCGCGCTCACCCTCATTCCGCCTCTCACTGCCTCCTCCTATAAACCTAACAAGGCAGCAGCAGCTGCTGCTGCTGCTCCTTCCGCTGATATTGCTCCCGCTCCAGTCCAGCCGCTGGGTCCCTCTGCCTCTGCCCCATCCCTTGCATTCAGAAACCCCCTGGCGGCGCTGCCCCCGCTGCCCTTCCCCTTCCGCCCATCCCCGCGCGCCCCTGCGCCCAGCTCCGCGCCCGCCTTTGCCACCGCCGCTGCTCTCATAGCTGTTGCCACTGGCATGCCGGATGGTGGCCGTATGGGCACGCCAGAGAGCCGTATGGGTATGTCAGAGGGCCGTATGGGTATGTCAGAAGGGCGGGTGGGCATCCCAGAAGCGACGTCAGTGGAGACTATCAGCAGCACTCTCAGCTCTGATACCGCTGCTGCCATTCCCCGCATGCAGCACGTGGCCGCTCTGCACCGCATTCAACACCAGCAACAGCAGCAGCAGCAGCAGCATGTGGGGAATCAGGGCAGGCAGAAGCCAGCAGCAGAGTCTTCCCTCAGTGCTGCCAGTGCCTCTGCCGGGGATACCTATGGCGCTGGTGCTGGCGCTGGTGCTGGTGCGGGCAGCAGCGGCGCCAACGCCTCTGTCTCCAGCTATGGCCGCAGCAGCAGCAGCAGCAGTAGCGGCACCCGCCCCACGTCGCCCCTCCGGTTTGGCGGGAGGCTGGCTGCGAAGCTGGCGGGTTCCTTCTCCTCCCTGGTTCCTAAATCTCCCAAGTCTCCCAAGTCGCCCAAGTCCTCCAGGTCTCCCAAATCTCCCAATTTGCGGAGTCCCCGGAAGTTTGGAAGGAGATTCGGTGCAGTGACAGGAACTGAGGGGGCAGGCGGATCTGCAACAGCAGCAGCAGGAGGAGCAGCAGCAGCAGGGCAAGGAAGAGGGTCGTCCTTGGTGGCAGCAGTGGCGCTAGGGGGTCACAAGAGCACCCCATCCTTGACCCTATCCACAGACGAAGGTCCCACTGCTGGCTCTGGGAATTTCAGCAGCGAGGGGACTATGAGCTGGGGCTCCCTCCTCTCATCCTCCTCCCTCATTGGCCGCTCCTTCTCCCTGCTCTCCCCGAGAAAAGGCCCCAAAATGCGCCGGGGAACCTGCCTTGTACCCTCGACGTCGACACGGGAAGATGGGCAGGTGGAGGCGGCGGTTACTGGGGATAGTGACTTGAGTGGGATGTTGGGGGATAGTGAAGTGAGTGGGGTGTGTGGTGGGGATAGTGAGGTGAGCGGGGTGTGTGGTGGGGGGATGTCGCTAGAAGCCAGTTTGAGCCATGCAGGGCTGGATGTGCTGTTGGGTGTGAGGGATGCTGCTGAGGCAGCAGCAGGTGCAGCGGCAGGAGCAGGAAGAGCAGAAGCAGGCGTTGCAGAAGGGGCAGGAGTGGGAGTAGGGATGGGTGCAGCAGGCGAGGCAGGTGGTGCTGTAAAGGGGTGTTTGAATGACGGGGCTGAGGATGTGTTAATGGGCCACGTGCGTACCAGGCTGCAGGCAGTGCAAGCAGGGCAAGCAGGAAAGGCAGGGCAAGCAGGAAAGGAAGGGCAAGCAGGAAAGGCAGGGCAAGCAGGAAAGGCAGGGCAAGCAGGAGAGGCAGGAAAGGCAGAGCAAGCAGGGCAGGGGGCACAAGCTGGGATGGCAGTACAGGCAGTGCAGGCGTGTAGGAGTGGGGAGGAGGCGAGCAACGAGGAAGAGAGTGGGAGGAAGTGGGCCCAGCAAGGCACTGCCGATCGCAGGCTAGCGCTGCAGGGACAGGGGAAGAGTGGCGCAGGTGGGGCAGGTGGGGCAGTTGGGGGAGGCGCAACAGGTGTGGCGGGCTGGGCAGGTATATCTGGTGGAGGTTTGACCCAGGCAGGTGCAAGCTGGACACAGCCCAATCCAGACAGAAAGCTCTCTAGCTCCCTCCACAGCCCCACACACTCTCCTACCGGTAATCCCAGAGGTGGTAACCGCGCTGCAGCAATGAATCGTAACAGTTCGAGCAAGTCACTGAAAGAGGAGGGTGTGTATCAGCGGGTGCTGGTTGGGCTGGAGATCCCAGAAGGGGACGAGGAGAGGGGAGGTGAGGGGGTGCCGGAGAGACCAGTGCTGGGTGTGGGGGGAATGCATGGGAGGGTATCTGTGGTTGGTGGTAGCGGTCAGCAAGGGGAAGCATGTGGGAATGCATATGGTGGTGGTGATGGTGATGGTGATGAGAATGGGAATGGTGATGGAGGGGGGTATGTAGAGCAGGAAAGTGATGGGGATTCAGCATCGTCGTCGTCATTCAGTCCGACAGTCCCTGCTACACTGACGTCGCCTATAGGGAGTTTGTTTCAAAGCAGGAGGAAGCATGAGCGCTTACCGAGGCGGTTACAGAGGAGGAAAACTGGCACCCCACGCTAGTGGCTGTTGACGAAAATCAAGTGTGGGTTATATGGGTTCGGTAGGTTGCGTTCATTGTTTTGGTTTCATTATTTATTCGTTCATTTTTGTGCAAACGCATGTGAAAGGGTGCATTGAACTCTATGTAAGCATGTATACTTATGTTTTTTCGTTATCAAGCTAACAATGGGTAAGTGGTGCAGACGTGCTAGTGAAGTTAAACCCCAGCAACAATAGCTGCTGGTAACAAAAAGTACTCCCCATGTAAGGAATTTTGTCTAATTCCATACTGAGGCACCTTGTGCGCATACAACTCCAACTTTCGGAGTTCCAGGCTCGGTCCGACGACCTCGCCCTCCGAACATCTCTTGCGTCGCCTTCGGGTTTTCCAACCCCAAGCCTGCATCCGACCATGCGCGGTCCCGTGGCCTTGCCCTAGCTAGCCCTCGCTATATCAATGCTAGGTCTCATCATTTCGTCAATAATTGTAACCACTTCCGCAATATTGCATTCTGCGCACACTCTTCTTTGACAAATCATATCACTAGGTATCAGAGCTACTTTCCTAGGTTACCCTTGCATTTCCGAGGTAGTTTAGTGAGGGGGTGCGATAGACTTGGTGGGCTGTGAAGCGGGGTACTTTAGATACGATTATCTCGTTCTAACTACGTTAGCGTTCGCGCCTTCATCAAAGTCATAAAGATCGTTGTTAACCGCCTGCTCGTTAGGCGAAGCCTGAGAAATATGGACCAGGCCATGTTTACCGAGTGCATGCAACAGTACCGGACGATGCAGACCACAGTGCACACCATGTTAGCGGAGGTCGAACGCGTGAGGGTGGAAAACGCCGAACTACGCCAGGCGCGAGGTGAAGCGCGCAAGGAGTCACCCGTGATGGATGAAGCAAGTAGCAGCTCCACGCCGAACGAGGCCGTCTTCAGTGAGCTGGAGGGCTCCATGGATGCTGAAGTTGAATGGCGTGCACGGCAGCAACACGCGCAAGCAACGTCGGAGCAACAACAACAGTCGCAAGCAGCGACGAGGCAGCAGCAGTCGCAGGCAACGCCAAGACAGGCACAAGCGACAACGCCGGCGATGGCTTCGACTGCACCAACAGTGCATGTGGTAGCAACAATTTCTACAACTGTTAAAATTAAACCAACAAATCCGCCCCTATTCAACCAGAGCAACAATGGATGGTTGTTCGGAGTGGAAGTTTTCTTTAACGCTGCGCAAATTGCTGATGCTGCCACCCGCATTTATTTTGCGGTATCACTGTTATGGGGATCTACATTGGAGTGGTGGCGATGAACGCTGCAGTCGAAGGGGACTCCGGTAGGGATATCACGCGTGAACGACGAGACCTCAACACATGTCAGGCGATAGGTAGCATCAATTTCCGGAGTGGCCACGATACGCACATGGGAGGAGTGGGGCGCCGCCATGCGAATCAAATTCGAGCATGTATCTGCCTCGGATTCTGCTCGCATGAAGCTGCGCGTCTCGAAGCAGTTGACATTGGTCCAAGACTACACAACGACATTCTGAGCCTTGGCCGACAAAGTGGACGATATGGGCAATGCGGAGCGGCTCGATAAATACGTCGCAGACCTCAAGTACGAGATACAGTTCGAGGTGCAACGTATGAGGCCACGCGACTTCAACGATGCCGGCCAGGTGGCTGGATCAATGGATGCGCCGATGCAGTGGGCGAGAATGAGTTTCCAGGTGTGAGAGTACGACGGCTTATGCTGGCTTTGCTAGCTTGCCTAGACTTTCTTATGCTATTACAAGCTTGGATTTTATTTATCATGCATAGATATGCTTGATTTCCTATGTTAGGTGCGTTCCTAAATGTTATTTTAGTTATAGCATCGAACCAGGTTACGTGTACCGAACTCAAGCCTTTTCGGTTCCCACCGAATTGACTTTTTCCTAGTTTGGGAAGGTAATGTTCGGGAAGCTTCGCGACCCTCAGAACATTCGCGTAACACCTGGGTTACCTGCCTTGTGTCGAGCCTATGTATAGCCTCGCCTTGTACCCAGGTGAATCATTCAATAGAATCATCTTTCCTGAACCAGATCCTCACACTTGGTTATCAGAGCAGGTTTACACGCGAGGGCGACGACGAAAGCGCCGATACGGGTATGTAAAACCAGTTCAGCGCAATTTTTCAAGTCCCCCTCAATTCGGTTTTCGAACACCCTATCAGAATGTATTTGCTGTCTAGCCTGTACTGGGGTACTCTAGTGAGTACAGCTCTATTAGGGTTTGCTATATGTACTCAACTGCCTGCTAGTGAAAACCCCTCTTCTTCCATTTCTTTTTCGTGTACCCTAAACCCTGGTTATGGCTACTAAGTTCTAGCTAGGTTTTTGACATGCTATCAGAGCGAGTACGCTCTTGGCCTGTGGCCTGTGGGCCCACCTGCTTCCGCTGCTGTCCTGTTTGTCGCGCGCCCCGTGGCGTGCGACGTTTTTTTCTTCCCGCCATGCACTCGGGGCGCATGGCGGTTTTCTGCCCGCCGCGTGCTCGGGGCGCGCGGCGGTTTTCTGCCCGCCGTGCGCCCCGAGAGCGCGCGGTGGTTTCGTACTCCGTCCCGCGCGTTCCCTGCTGTCGTCCGTCGTGGCGCCCCCGGGGACCTGCGGGCTCCCCCCGTCGTTCATCGCGGCGCCCTCGGGGACCCGCGCGCTCCCCTCCCCCGTCGTCCGTCATGGCGCCCTCGGGGACCCGCGCATCGCCCCCCTCCCATCGCCCGTCGAGGCGCCCCAGGGCCCCGCGCGTCGCCCCCTCTCCCGTCGCCCATCGTGGCGCCTCGGGGGCCTGCGTGTCGCCCCCTACCGTCGCCCGTCGAGGCGCCCCAGGGACCAGCGCGCCGCCCCGCTTCCGCTCACCCGTTGCCCCATCTCCTGCCTGCGTTTCTGCCCTGCGACACCTGCGTTTGGGATGTGGGGGTGGCGGGTATGGGGGTGGCGAGTGTGTGACCGTCCCCTGCTCCTCCTCCTCCTTCGTCTCCCACTGCTGCAGCTGCCGCTGAGGGGGCTGGGTGTGTGGGAGCTGAGGGAGTGGTGCTAGGGGGGTGACATGGGAGTGGAGCTAGGGGTGCAGCAAGGGGTGTGTGAAGGGGGGGTGGGACAGTCGGGGGAGTATAGCTCCATGTATTCTATAGGGTACTCTATAGTGAGTATAGCTCCATGTATTCTATGTGAAGGGAGGTTGAGCGGAGGTAGTCGTCATGTCGCCAGCAGCGCCAGTAGTCCGGAGGCTACAATCTCCGGTAGTCCCCAGTCGCCCGTGGGTCAGTTGCTCCAGCCGCTCGGTGTAGCCGCGGAGCCAGTTACTCCTGCAGTCCAGGCCATTGCTTCGGTAGCCACTGAGCCAACCGCTCATGTGTGTCTGCAGCTTCCACCGTCGCGTCCCACCTCATCTCCTCTCACAGTCCCTCCTCCTCACTTGCCCTTTGTAAATGCCTCTAGTTGTGCTTGTACTTGTGAACCTGCTTTGTGACTGCTTGCTCTGCTGATTATACCCCACTTTGACTATGGGGTTGTGTTAGAATGTATTTGCTGTCTAGCCTGCAGTAGGGTACTCTATAATGAGTATAGCCCAGTTAGGGTTTGCTATATGTACTCAACTGCCTGTTAGTGAAAACCCCTCTTCTTCCATTTCTCTTTCGTGTACCATAAACCCTAGCTATGGCTACTAAGTTCTAGCTAGGTTTTTGACACACCCCTCTTATTTACTGGTGAAAAGGTTGGAGTTTCGACCATTCGATCGAGTTGTCAGATTATTATAGCTGATGCATGTTTGTAGGCTATAGTGGGGTAGCACATATGGGGTACAGCTTTCTAGGGTTGTATTTGTACCCAACACTGGCTTAGTCATTCTCATTCCTGGTCATTTATTTCCACATGGTATAGAGCGAGTTCCCTGTGGGAACGTTGCCTAGGGCCCACCGAAGCGCGCCCCGAGGCGCGCACCTTTTTTTTAGCGACCCCTCGAGTCGCCCTTTCCCTCGTGGCCCCGCCGTCCCTCAGACGCGGCCCCGCCACCCCTTCTGATCGCGGCCCCGCCACCCGATCGCGGCCCCGCCGCCACGTCGCGGCCCCGCCACCCTATCGCGGCCCCGCCGCCAGCTACGAAGCGGCCCCGCCACCTGCTCGACGCGGCCCTGCCGCCTGCTCTGACGCGGCCCTGCCGCCTACTCTAACGCGGCCCCGCCGCCCGCTACGACGCGGCCCAGCCGCCTGCTCTGACGCGGCCCCGCCGCCACCTCTTACGCGGCCCCCGCCGCCACCTCTGACGCGGCCCCGCTGCCTGATCTAACGCGGCCCCGCCGCCACCTCTGACGCGGCCCCGCCGCCTGATCTGACGCGGCCCCGCCGCCACCTCTGACGCGGCCCCCCCGCCTGCTCTGACGCGGCCCCGCCGCCCGCTACGACGCGGCCCACCCGCCGACTACGACGCGGCCCCGCCGCCCGCTACGCCGCCGGCCCCGCCGCCTGCTCAGCCACGGCTCCGCCGCCCTCTCTGCCGACCCCGCCGCTCCACCAGCCGCGGCCCCGCCGTCCCCGCCGCTGCACCTGCCGGCCCTGCTACTTCGGCCCCGCCGCCCCTGGTCTCGCGGCCCCGCCACCCTACCTGCAGCAGCCGAGCCGCCCCCCCCTGCAGCAGCCCAGCCGCCCGGGAGCCGAGCCGCCTTACACCAGAGCCGCCCTGCCGCCGAGCCGCCCGGGAGCCGAGCCGCCCAGCAGCCGAGTCGCTGAGTCGCCGAGCCGCCCTTCTGCAGAGTTGCCCGGCCTGCCCTGCCTGGTGAGCACAATCCCACTGTCACTGCGTGCTCTTCCCCTACTGCTTGCACTGCTTCGCTGTCGTCGTCATGGCTACCCCTAGTGTCCTAGCTTTTGACGCTGAGGGTCGCGCCATTGACTTTGAGGTCTGGGTAGACGACCTGCAGTTGTTTTTACAGTGCGATAGGGCAAATGGCCTCTCTCTCTTTGACCTTACCTCTGGCGCCTCT